TATCTCACCTTTTTGAGGGACGACACGGCTACACTCAAGGTTTAAAAATAACAAACTTTGACTTCCTATTATCTCAAAGTACCTAAAATGATCATCATAATGTCTTATTTCCAATGATCCGACTTTTTTGGTGGGGGGAAGGGAGGGGGGAGGGGAGTACGATACCGCTACACCCACTGTTTAAAAAAATCCCACCTTTTGACGCCCAATATCTCAGTCGTTCCAAAAGTGCAAATAAAACCGTATCTTCTAATACCATACGACGGTCTCTATATGGTCCTCGGATAAAAACCAGTGGAAGAAAAAAATGAAACTCTCCTTTCATTAAAAAAAGTGTGCATTTCGTAAAGTATACACCCATTTATTGTTATTGAATTCATGAATCCACCATCAGTTTATCTTCCTACTTCTATGGTCTGGACAGAAGGGTGTCAAAACGTGGTGACAATACGGAGATTATCCCGAACCCACCCCGGTACCCCTCCTCCTTCCCCACACCGCTCGGTCACCCGAACCAAACTTCATAATGATTTGCAAATAAGCAAACATTTTAATAAACAGAACTGACCGCCTTGACAAGCGACAGAGAAGGCGGTCTTTGGGTCAGGTTTCATCAAACCGCCGCGCCTTTCACTTTCAGCGAGGTCAAGAGACACACGGCTTCCCGTCTTGTGGGGCCTTCTGTGTCCTGTGTCAGTCGCTTCTGGGTCTTTTTTGTTTTGTTTTGATACGTGTTTTACGGCGCTCTCATCTGTATAAGGTCATATAAGCGCGCTGGACACTTTCAGTTAGTCGGAAATTTTGAATTTTGCCCGGGTGGCGGTCGAAGCTTACTCTTATCAATTTTAGACCACCGAGGGATCTTTAACATGCGCAACTTGACAATGACCATGACAATGACAATCTTTATTCATCTCGCAGGGAGAAATTCGTCTTGGTCGTGAACAATGGCTGTAGACGTTACAAAAGTTAGACCTTAAGGTGCACTCACGCAAACGCAAAACAAGACAGGACATTAGGCCTA